CAGCTTGTATCTCTGTAGCCCGAGGGCATATGACAAAATCCTTTCACCCTCAGAGGTTTCACCCAATAGGCAATAAGTATACCAAGTTTGAACAAAATCGCAGAGGTGACCGATTTTGGCTGTCCCGGTTGACATGGAATGCCCCCAAAACGTGAGCTGTGAATTTCGTTTGTCGTTTTTGGAGGCTCTCATTACGACAGCAGCATGGCACCGCACTTGGCACGTTGCCAAGGTAGGTAATCTGAAGAAGTTAATGCATCTTTTGAATTTGGAATTTTATTAGGAAAGTTTTAGAGGTTGGTTGCTACTCTTTCTCTTACTAAATCGAAATTGGGTTTTCATACCTGGTTGAATAAGTGGATTGCTGGATTATTTTGAGCAAGACTAACCTACTTGGCTTCCAGGTTTGATTTCCCAACATCTGTCCATAGGCGGCGGAACGGGAGGGGGGGGGGTGGCACCAGGGCACCGTGCCCCCATAGATTTTTGCATTTTAACATTAGCCCTACTGGCATTGCATGGAAAGAATGGGACCAAAAGTCTGCAGTGCCCCGCCGCCACTGCATCTGTCTGTAACTGTTTGTTCATTGAATTAAAGTGGCTGTAGCTTGTTGATATGATTGTCATCAGTGCTGTCATGAAAAAGTTACAACTGGTCACAAAAAGTAGTAATGTGCATGTCCTTGGCTTATTTTAAATGTAGTACAAATGTTCTTTATTTAAAGTCAAATTTATTGATGATACTTAATGATTGCAACTGGTCTTAAAGGGACAGTATCACCATTTTGATGAAATTTGACATTGCATAGGCCCCACCTTTCTGGTCCGGGAACTGAAGACCGATCCTCGAAGCTCCACACCGTTATCCCGCTATCGCCGCTCAAAGTACGAAAGGTGTACCACACTTTGAATCGTGCTTCACTATCTTCACTGTTTAAATGTTTGCGCCGTTTTGAATTGACCGCCAGTAATAAAACTTTTACCCTGGTCATTTCATCAAATTTTATAAAGCCAAAACGTTTTTCGCGCTTATTCATCACCGTTAAATTCATTAAATAGTCGTAGGCAATTTCCGCTGTTTCCTTCGGATTCTAGCGGCTCAACAAAGGAATTCCTCCAGCTTGAATCACAATCTCCCTCCCATGTATGACGTTTATCACGTGATTGTCACGTGATATTTTCACCCATTGTCAATTGTCACGTCCAATTGTCACTCCCTCCGATTGTCACGTTATATTTTCATAGGCAATACCTAAGGCTACCTTTCCCTAAGGACAACTCAATCAGAAGAACGACCGCGTAAGCGTAGCGTCAATAATGTATTATCTGCGCCAGTTCTGTAGTAATTTTGCATGCTTCCAAACTGGCGGCCATGCTTGTATAGTGGTGGTTCGCTCATGAAAATGAATCATGAAAATGAAATGTGGTTGCAATATTTTTCACCGAGTTCGGTCCTCAAACTATGTTTTTCTGATTCAGAAAAATAAGAAATGCTAGTAAAAAAAAAATCAGCTCCATGCATGGATTTTTTTTTCGATGATACTGTCCCTTTAACCATGTCCACAAGTGACAATTCTCAATTGTATTGCACTGTAAGGTGTACAATTATGTGGGATAAGGGTTTCATTGGCTACATCTTGTCGTTAGATCCATACAGATCATAGGCCCTCCACAAATTTTTGCCCGCTGGATCCACAGAGATCATAGATCCGACCCCTAAATTTTGTCGAGAGATCCATTCAGATCATAGATCCGACCCCTGAATTTTGTCGAGAGATCCACTCAGATCATAGATCCAACCCCTCTATTTTGCCGAGAGATCCACTGAGATCATAGATCCAGCTCTCGGATCCATGCACATGTCTGCTTAGAAATACACAGCGGTATGCATCAGCATGGGTATTTGGATAAATAAAGGGACGCTTTCAGCTGAATAGATTTGCTTATAAATTTCATTTCATTGCCCGACATAATAAAAACATAACTCAGTGTCAACCTCAAGACGGTTACCAGCTGTTTGTCGTGAGCTTAAGTCACAATTTTCCCACCCTTGAGAAATATTGTCTCTAATCGTTGTGACGTTTTCCCATGTCACAGCTGTCGAGCACAGCTGCAAAGCCGTTTAATCCCACAATGAAATTATACAATAACTCAACACAGTCGAGTTGTTGCGCGATAAACAAAACTGATTGGCCCCTTAGCCGGAATCCGTCAAGCTTTATGGGACCCTGAGACTCCATTCGCCGAGGATCTGAGGCTTAGTCCTGAAAAACTGTGGCCTCATCCATGAGGGGACTGTGTGGCACAGTCGTGTGAAATTTTTAGCTATTCATGGCTTCATCCAAAAGACCACGGGTTCGGCGGGCCACTATGCAGGATCCATGGCTCCATTCGGCGGGATTGTTATGCCCGTATTCGTTTTGCAGGATCTGAAACTGGCCATGTGTCCTTCCGACAGGCACCTGTTACATTCGGTAGAATCTGTAACTCAGAACGGCAGCATCTCTGGCCCCAGCCCCTGCTGGCCGCCTGTGCATGCATCTTCGGGTGGCAGAATCAGACGCTATCCTTCCCAGATAGCGTTTGACGGCCTAGTTTTGTTCGGTGGCAGACTAAGACGCCGGTTTCCCGAGATGGTCTTTGGCCGTCTATAGTTATAGTTTCGTCTGTCGGCAGATTCAGACGCCGGTCTCCCCAGGTGGCTGCGATAAGGCGCACCTGTCGTCTCCCTGAGGAAGCACCGCCGGCCGGCACAGCTGGATCAATCACCCGGCCAACCGCGAAGGAGGTGCAGCTCTGTCACTATCGCAGCGGGTGGTGAAACGGGAAGAGACGGGAGAGGATGGGGAAAGGGATGAGAGACGCGATTAGGGATGATGGAAAAAGGAGGACGGGATAGGAAAGGGTGAGAAAAGGGATGGAAGAGAGCTGAGAGAGACAGGAAATGAGAGTGAGAGAGGGGTATGAGATGACGAGAAAAGGGGCTAGAGACAGTGCATGAGAAAGGATAGCGTGGGAGGTGGGGTTCGGAGACAATGTGGAAGAGAGATGGAGAGACGGAACCGGACGGAGGTCGGGGTCAGCGGACGGAGCTCACTGAGTTGGCGCCGTGCTCAGCCGACCGGAGAGTGAGTCGGCAGCCGGCACGGCAGATCCACAGCGCGAGCTACCGCAGACTGACACTGTGAGCCAGTGAGCCGCGGCCAGCCGGGGCGCCCCACGTCAGACTGTCACGCCATAACAGCTCAGCGCGCCCGCCAGTCATTACAGGAGCTACCCCAGCAGCCTGTCCGGCGGCCGCTCGATCGCATATCTAGCGTCTTCTGTCGCCGGGGGACACCGCTCGGAGCCGCCGATAATCCAGCCAAGGACCTGGATCGGAGAGCGATGGACAGGCGCTGATCAGTCCGTCTCTGGGGCCGTCTGTCGGGTACACCTGGCCGCGCGCAGCCCCGAGCTCTGCGGTGTGAGGATGGGAAGATGGGCGGACGGACGACTGAGGACCTCCCGAGATGTGAGAGACCGCTCCGTTAGCTTTGGCCGGCGGCGTCACTCACCACATCCAACCGTCATCAACGCCACACTCGCCGCCGATGCGCCGCCGGTGCGCCGTATACACCGCCAGTGCGCCGCACTCGCCGCCAGCGGCAGGTGCGGCGCACCGGCGCGCCACAATCCGGTCGGGCATTTGCCTGTCAAACTCAGATGGATGGAGGCCGGCTAATAGGCGGAATCTCATCACAGACAGGTTTAAAAGCCACGATGACGGCCGCGGCGGGTTGGTGGCGAGCGGCGCCCCGGCCCTCGCCACCGCGATTTGGGCGGAACACGGAGTGGATAGGACGCTGATGGATCCTTCTGTAGTGGAGAAATGGAGCGGACGGCCGGCCGAGATCGACCATCGGACGCAGCCGACAGACGTTCTTTACATTCGCCGACCGCGAGGAAAGCGTCGGTCTGGTCCCGATCAACCGGCTGTTGAAGCCAAGGAATTCAGAGATAGGACACATATGGTCGGTTTTCACCACCTGAGCTTTCTTGGGTAAAATGGCATAAAGAAAACCGATGAAGTCCAACTGACCCAAACAGATTTCATCTTGTTGGTGTCATGAAGCGGAACATCACTCAACGGTCAATCAATGGTCACCAAAGCAGTGCGAGTGATGACTTTCACAGCCACTATCTCAGAGCGAATAGCCTCCAACTGCACTCTCCCGAGTCCCGATCGACAAAAACTTTGGCGCCGGACCGCAGAGACCACAGCAAGAAAATACTCGGTCCATCGTCATCTTTCACTTCGAAGTACGCAAAAACCGAAGCCTGTCCAGAGTCGAACCCACACTTTGTCGTAGCGTCGTGGGCTGTCACAACGGCCTGCATATCGAAGGTATTTCAAATCCTTCCCGCCCGTCGCTGGCGTGCATTTCCTCATCGTAGGCACGCCGGACCGGGAAGGCCGGCCGTTCGCCGCTGCAACAGGTGCCTGCGCCGCGGCGGTCCGGTACGTCTGTGCCGAGTGGGGCACGCCCCGGGACCGGCCGGCGCCGAGCTGCACGGCCGTCCACCCCGCCGTGCCGAGCGGCGCACCGCTGACAGAGCCGGGAGGGGAGAGGAGTCGGGGCGGCCGGTGAATGTTTGGGTGTGTCGCCACTGCGAGGGTGGCCAGCGCGTGAAATCCTGACAGAGATGGACTTTGGACAGGGCGGGCGGACTGCTTGTGTCAATATCCGGGTCTGAGCCTGGCTCCCCGACAATGGCTGCAACAGCAAACATCCGCGAACTCCGACCCGCACACAGAGAAGGCGTGAAATATTCAGCACAATTCCAAACCACACTCGGCGTAATACGACAGGCTGGTGCGTGTAATCCGTTTGGGAGCCCAACCGGCGACTGTTGTGCTCCCTGAAGGCGCCGAGGTTGGCTCAACCAATCTACCCGGCGTCCTACGCAGCAGGAGTCTCTGCCGCGAACCTGCGGCGCGTCGAGGTCGTACGGCTCACCTGCGTGTCCCGATGACGCTAGGGAGGACACTGCCGAGCTGCGGTAGTAAGTGACCCAGCTGGGACAGAGACCGCGGCCGCTCGGCCTCCGTGTTGGGACGCTTCTTCAGGCGCGGCTCCCGTGAGGCCGTCTCGGTCATCGGTAGCGTGCTCGGGCCCGGGGCCGGCATCGGCGCAGCGCCCGGACCCGGCGCCGGAGCCGGACCCGCCATCGGAGCCGCCACGAAGCCGGTGTCGGCGTCCGGCGGTCCCGGCGCGGGGTCACCCCCGACGCCGTCATTGAGCGAGTGCCGCTGCCGCCGGCGTTCGGCCGAGCGTGGCCTCAGGTAGCGGTTGAGCAGGCCGGCCAGGCCCAGGTCGACGCTGACCGGGCGCCGCCGGCCGCGCGGCTGCCGACCGACCGGCGCCGCCATCGTCACCGGCGCGCCATCACCGCCGCCGCGCGTCACCGCACTGTCATCTCGCTTGGAATCACTGGCTGTCACTGAAAGAGCAGTCCGCCCTGCACTCGCTGACCACCGGACTGACCGCCGGGACGCACCGGCCAAGACTGGAGCCGGTGTGGCGGCGGCGTGTCACTGGCGGCTGCAGCGCAGCGGCGGCGGGCGGGCGGCCGGACCGGTTACCGCCTCCTCCCCGTCCAGCCCCGCGCCGCGCGGCTATCGCAACGGCCATCGACGCGGCCGGCGCGGCGGCCTCGACCTTGGCTGGACACGCCGGCGGCGGCGCGTGCGTCCGTCCCACACTGTCCCGAGAGGGCCATGAGAGGGATGGAATCTCAGGTGGCGCCGGTCAGCGATATGGCGTCGCTGTGGCCTTCGCACGCGGTGAGGTCGGAGCTAATATACCTGTGGTAGCCACTCAGTTGACCTCCATCACCAAGGTCTTCGTCAGAAACTATTACTGGCCTGGCCACAACGTTCGTCTTCAATCTTCATTGCAGCACAATGCGCTTCTCCAGATTATGACATTCGTCATTCCGTGTCGTGCGATACGTTACGTACCGCGACGTACCGGTACGTATATATGTCTAAACTATGTCTCAATGCATTGTGTCGTGCTGTTCCCAGCCACAAACACATATATTCCGCACCGTACCGTACCGTTCCATGGAGCAGCGTCCCGTGCCATACCGTTGCGACTCTGAACCGGTCACCAGCCCTCCCCGGTGCAGCTCCCTGGAGTCGCCCGTCCTGCGGCTGCAGCCTCCCTCCTTGGCACCCCTCCCCTCTCCGCGCGCAGCCACCCATTGATCAGCCACGTCTGGAGAGCGAGCCGCGAGGGTGGGGTGGCAGCCCGCGCACAGACCTGTGTACCGCGCCGGTCGGCCCGGCGGCGGTGCGTGTGTTGTGTGTGTAGTACGCAGCAGATGTAGTCGACTGCCCGCGGCTGACCGGAGTCGGACACAGGTGGAGGCGGGGACTGCAGCGCAGCCCGGCGCCGCAGCCGCCGCGGCGGGTCGTTGCTCCTGCTCGCAGCGGCTCTGGCCGGCATGTTAAGCCGGCGAGCGGGCCGGTTGGCCAGGTGGGTCAACCGCGTGCCATCGGTCCGGTCCGGCACGGTGCGGCGGGGTAAGGCACGACCGCTGTACGGCCACCTTCGGAGGATGCGCATTGTAAACTGCACAGAGCGCGGCGCCGCCAGCGGATATATCAGCGACATGGTACTGCGCTCAATATTTGAGAAATATTCGTGAAGAAATCACCCAGAAACACGCCAAGCATGTACCACCTGAATTCAGCCAACAACAGTGCGTATTCCCCCTCCCCCACATCTCGCCCTAAGTCCTCCCCCTCCCAGGCACACGCACTCCGCCCAACGTGTGCGGTCAGTTCCCTGCTCTCGGGGAGACTGACGGCGGGTCCCCAATGGGGAGTGATTGGTGGTCGCCGAACCTATCGGTCACCGCACCCGACCGTGACCAGAGGTGGTCGGGCAGAGGTGAGATGAGGGAGGGGAGGTGAGAAAGGGGACGAGAGGGTGAGAGGCGAGAGGGAAGCCGAATGGAGACGTGAGAGGGGAGGTGTATGTAGTTATGCACGCGGGAGGTGGAAAGGAAAGGGATTGAGAAACGAGAGGAGAGAGAGGTAAAAGGGAAATGAAAAGGAAACAGAGAGGAGGTTTCAGCAGAACAAATTGTGCCAGGTGATAAATTATTTCGGACCAGAATGGGAGAGATATAGAAAAGCACAAAATATTGATACTTCAGTTAAAAAACCTCTAGGATTCGACAACCATTTGATCTGGCAGGCCGCAACTAGTGTTAATGATTGAATTAAGAGACATGCATCAAATTAATGCAGTATGAAACTACAAGGCAGCACCGGTAGCACATCATTCCGAACGTGAGGTAGCGTCGGTTTTGAAGAAGAGCAATCGCTTTTTCCGCTATTGTTTCAGTTCCGTGCTATGCGGAAGGGCAGCCGGCCCAGCCTTTCAAATTGGACGCGGTCTGAAAGAAGGCCCCATCTGTTCTGAACGCGCCGGTCCCGCCAATGCATTTCAATGCAGCCCGGTGGGGTTCGGCCGGCCTACGCGCCGCGCCAGTGCAGTGGCCGGGGGTCGGACGGCGTCCGCCCTGCACGGTTCCGGGAGAGGAGGCACACAAGCCTCGTATGACGCCGCGCGCTCCCAGCCGGCCGGCGGAGGAGGTAGTCCAGCGCCGGCTCTATGGTCCGAGCCGGTGATACATGGCCAGGAAATTGCAGCTCTCTGTCAGCCCCGGCGGCCCGTATAACCGCGGTCGGCGACCTGCCCCGCTCAGGCGGCGGGGACACCACCGTTACCGGTCGGTCCAGTGACCGCCAATACAGGGCGCGCGCAGAGACATCGGTCACGGGTCGGCACGTGCCGCTCCGGCTCCTCCATTCAGGAGAGGTCATTAAAGGGAGAGTGCGTCAACGTTGCATGACATAATGGGTCGCGCACGGTCATGCCGTCAAATGAGTTTCCAGTCTCCGCAGTTGGAAGGCCCATAATCAATTACCTACTGAACTCTGGACAAGGAATTCGGAACTGCGATCATCTCCGGTCATCTAGCCCCGGTGGCCTGAATACCATTACCATGGGTAATAAATGACCCGGTAAACGGTATACGGCCGCTCCCAGGGTAGAGATGCCATTTAATTTGCATCGCTCCGCCCGGTCAAATGAACGCCGAGAGGCAACGCTCCGAAAGCTCCAAACACAGTTATAAAAGTCGGCAGTCTCAGGCCATTACCATCAAACATTCACATATGCCACGGATAAATAAACCATTGGGCCACGTCTTCATCCTCAGCTATCGATGAATAGATAAGGACATTCACAGACAAACTAATGTGATTTATGCTACGCATGACACCAATATTGACTAGTCGTTACCGGGTAGAGGTAAAATATTGTAGATGCACACGCGGCAGAAGTCAACTATCAATTTAACATACCTATCGGATGCAATTATAAAGCACGATTGCTATAAACTTGACCATCGCTTCGTTTGAGATTGGTCAAGAGTTCCGGTTTCCTTCAGCAGACGCAATCCTCACAGCCGTGTCTCTAAGGCAAGTCTGAGAGCAGTTCCTCAAAGCCTCGTCTCTTAGATGTGTCTCAAAGGTGTTCCCCGGAGCAGTGTCTGAAGTGTGTCTCAGAGGCGTGTCTCAGGTGTCTCAGGTGTGTCTCAGAGGCGCGCCTCGGAGGCGTTCCTCGAGGCGTGTCTCGCTGTCACCGGACGTCCCAGCGGAATGTGTGTGCCTCTGTTCGCCGCCAGTCGCGCATCCTAATGAGTGCACATTCCGCGCGCCTTCGAGTGACCATTGTGCGTCGGGGGGCATCCAACCTCAGTTCCGGGTAGATCTCAGACTCGTCGGGCCGAGGCCGGACTTCAGGAAGGAACTGCGATGAACTGAGCCATGTGATAAGACTGATAAGCAATGATCCGTGATTTGCACATTTTCATTGGAAAGTTTTCGGATGATGCTCGACAAAGTTGCAGATGCCATTAAATTCACATATCATTAGAAGTTTTTTTTTTAATGTAGCAGCCGTTTCAGTGGAAGCCCTCTGAGATAAATCACACCTTCAGAATCAGACGTCACTGCTCAGCATCCGTTTGCACTGTCGCCTGTCGATACCTGGATGACGTGACATTGCCGTCCAGGAATCACAAAGTGCTCACGGTCCCCAGAGACCGGAGAGAGGCGCACGGGACCGGCTAAAATAAGACACGATGGCGTCGAGCTCACCTGAGACAAATTAGGGCCGTACCTGACAGTGAGAGGGACCGAGCCAGCATTATACGGAGTTTCGCCGTCCCCAGACAGGCGGTATGGGGTGCGGTCGCTATACTGGGCTCAGGTAGAGCGGGGTTCTCTAATACCTGCCTTTTTTGTCCGACCCATATGGTCGCGAAGGTCAAACGCGGGTACAGCGCGTTCCTTCTGACGTAGATAGGTGTTCGGACATGGCGAAGGGACGAGGAGGCAAGCGACAGGTGGGCAGACCACGATCCGCCCCCAATGTCCCGAAGTTTTTGTAGTCTGCAGGCTCCAGGGCGTCATAACTGGGTCTGACATGGTGGGAATCGGAGATGCTCACGGTGAGAACCAGGAGACGCTCACGGCAGTCTTCATGACACACAAGTCGAACTGCAGTAATGAAATCATCGTTGGCACTGACTCAGTCAGCGCCCTATCAACAGACTCGGGCCGCTGCAGCGAACTATAACGGTGGTTGGAAGATGGTGGTGACCATTGACCACTGACCAGTTCATTCGTCACTATACCTGCCACTTTAACAGCAATAACTCCATCTACTGAGATATGCAAATGCACAATGCGAATACGGCGAGATTGAGTTATGCATTGTTCGATTAGACCGCATATTGTGAGGTCAGCGGATTAACGCCGAGCCATGTCCTGCAGCTGGCAATACTAAGTTATCTCTTGTAGTTGGCTACCTAAAGTTATGTCCTGCAGTTGGCAATATGGCGTCATGCATTGGCTCTTGCAACAACAGCACAGACATTTGCTGATGAACGCCACTGACTATGCACACGGTACCCGACGGCCACAGCCATGACTGACAGACAATGCCTTCTGACATCCCGGACTGTCAGTGACTCCTGACAGCCGGGCCGTGTGGGTGTCGCCGCTCCAGTGGCTGTGGGTTGCACAGGCCGAGCCCTGGCTTTCTGTTTCCGCTCCAGCTACGGTCGGTGCAACTGCGGCCAGCGAGCCGTCGACTCCGACCGTCGGTGTTCACAGAGAACGGCCGGCAGAAGGCGACGAGCTAACACGAGCTCCGCACACCGACGGCGACATATGACACCACCAGCAGACGATACCGACCGACGAGCCCCGGAGTTTCCTCCCCTCCCTCTCGGCTACCGAGCCCACCTCCAGTCCCCACCGCAGACAGCCGCTACTCCCCAGTGCCCATCCCCACCCCAACTATCTACCGCCGTCGAGACCCACCGACACCGTCTACGGCGGCTGTAATTTGAGACAAGCCCCAGGCACCAGCAGACGGCGGCGCCGGCGGTGGATCGT